CTCGGGTTATCGACCCATTGGCAGTGGTCAGTGATGGTAACGGGCGAGCAATCGAGCAACCGCGCACACGACCAACCGGACAACCGAGCAATCGGACAACCAACCAGTTCATCCGTCCAATGCACGGTGGTTCGTTCGGTCCTTCACCCGACATTATCCCGACTCTGTTACGTACGCGCACGTATTTATATACGTGTGCTCGCAATATGTACATGCCAGCGCTTCTATGCTCCTGCGCTACTACGCTTCTACGTTATCATCCATTCCCAAGGCTCCTTCGCCACTCTTTTCTCTCACATTTTTCGACGTTGAACCGAACGAACCTGTAGGGGAAGCAAACCCCCAAGCGAGCGACGGCGGCGGTCATCGGAGGATCACCGGCAGCGATTTCCTGATAAAATGATACGTATCTGGATTGGAAATGGGAATGAATGCGATCGTGCGAGGGTAAAGCGTATGAGGCGGTGAAAAGAGAGCGAGAAAGCAGCCGTAGCAGTGACATTCGACTGTCGGGAATTAATACGGCCGCGTAGCGAGGCTCCACTATATGGTTTCTAACGGATCGAGCGAAGGTCCCACGGGGGGCTTCTATGGAAGATTCGGGAGACGGCTCGAAGAAGGAATAACGGACAGTCAAAAACTGCCTTCTCTCGCACACAACCGGAGTCCGGGGTCCGTTATTAGCCGTTAGAAAGGAAACCCGTTCGGAGGTGGATTGTGCGGGCGTAGCTATCGCTAAAAATTCTTGGACATGCGACTCGTTTCTCGTCTCGTTTTCTATTCTATTTTCGTTTTACGTACATCACACGCAACATCACATGAAAGAAAAAATAGAGAGAAGAGACTATCATTACCTTTACATTTCATTTCCATCCTTATCCTTACTGGGTAATTGGTTCGAATGGGATGCTCGCACGTTAGAGCGCTTCTTCCTCGTTTCGAAGCAGTGCTATTGCTTTCTTCCGAATGTGGACGATCAAAATTCGATTTCGTCCTGCTTGAATGGCGAAGAGAAATCGTGAACGCGACAGCGGCGGCGGCGTCAAACGAGGAATCGAATTGGCGCACGCGGCCTCGCGCGATAGATGGAAAAAAAAGATGGCGGGGATTAGATGGGTCAGCGTGCAAAGCGGCTGTTATTCGGCTCCTATTCGACCGCCTGCTGGACCTTTCTACGTATCGAAGATTTGGGAAGATGTGCGTTTGGTAGGTGTGTGACATCGCAAGGTATGGAAATGTGTGAACAGATCTGGTGGTTATCCGCGCGTACCTACGAGCTCGTGGTGTTTGCTCGTAAGCGGGAGGGAGTTCGAATGCGGACCGATAGTATGCTGTTGGTATACGCGTCGTAGGTTCCTTGGAAGCGGTAGGAGGTTGGAATCGCGAGGTGACGAAGGAGGGAGTGGTAACACCTGGAATGTACGTAAGGTAAACGGCATCCGGGCAATGCCCTCGCATGTAAACAATCAGAAATTGCAGGCTTGATTACGCGAGCAAGTTTTCTGTGTCTCGCGTGTACGTACACGTTCGACGAATCGATCACGTTTGCGTGCACGAGTGCTCACTCTCTGTAACAGTTATAATAGTACGAGGGGAATTCGAATATACCAGTTTCCCCCTTTTCACCTGTTTCCTCGGTGGCCTATCCGAAATTCTACACCGTTTAACTAATCGATTACAGACACCCTCTGCTGCGGTCAATCTCTATCACTGTCGCGACTTGCGTCGCTCGGAAATTATTATTCCGAAAAGTTATCCCAGCTATAA